TCATGTTGTGTATATGTGAGGTAAAGTACGTATAGATGGTGGAAACAAATTTCCTGTAAAGGACAATAAAGAATCTGGACTTTTGTGCTGAAAGACTTTTTTTTCCTCCCATAAACTGGACTTTATGCTGCTGACCGAGACTTGGCTTCATGTTGGTGAGTCCGCCTCCTTTTCTGAGCTTCTCCCTCTGTAGCTCCTTTGAGGATGAAACGCACTAAAGCGCTTTCAGAGCCCTGGTTAAACTCCACCCGTGCGCTCAGACGTGCATGTCGGCAAGCTGAGAGAAGGTGGAAGAAAGATAAAGTCAGAGTGTCATATGAAATCCTACAGCAATATCTATCTGACTATCAGAGAGCTGCACAATCTGCAAAATCTGATTTTATTTCTAAGCTGGTCGCCAACAACCTTCACCGGCCACAGGTTCTTTTTAACATGTTTAACACCATTACAAGTCCCTGAAACTCTGCTGCTATCACACCTACATGGACCTCTGTGACTCTTTCATAAAATTCTTTGTCGAGAAGATTTTTGGTCTTCGATCTTCTGTAACTGCATCCTGTGACCATGATCCCTCTGTCCTCCTGTGTGCATTCCCTCTCGTCTGATTAGAGAAGTCTTTGATACCGTTGGACCATGTATTTTAAAAAAGGAACTGTTCTCTCTAACTTCAGGCCCATCTCTAAACTGACTTTCTTGTCTAAAGTCCTGGAGAAAGTAGTTTTTACCCAGCTGCAAACATTTTTAATTAATAATAATGTTAATGAAAAGTTCCAGTCCGGCTTGGAACCCTGTCACAGCACTGAAACGGCACTTTTAAGAGTTTTTATGCCTTCATAACTTCCCGCCTTGACTATTGCAACTCCTTATATGTGGGCTCAGACAAGTCATCTACTCAGCGCCTGCAGTTAGTCCAAAATGCTGCTGCCGTCTCCTGACAGGAAAGAAGAAGAGGGACCACATCACGCCTCCACTGGCTTCCTGTTCATTACAGGATTGATTTTAAAATCTTGCTTTTAACTTTTAAAGGCCTTAATGGATTGGCTCCATTGTACTTAACGGAGCTTCTTCACGTTCATACTGCAGCTAGAGTGCTGAGATCCACCAATCTCCTCCTCCTGGATGGACCCAGGAGCAGACTTAAACCCAGAGGCGACCGAGCCTTTAGTGTATCGGCCCCTAACCTGTGGAACAACCTGCCAGTCCACATCAGAACCGCCCCAACTTAAAAACATCTCTATTCTTTGGCATTTCCTACGAGTTAAGTCTGTTATTATCCCTGGTGATTTTAATATCACTATATATCATTTACTGTATGTTAAAATGTTTTATTGCTGTACTTTTACTGTGTAAGTACTGTCTTATTGTAGTATTTTAACCTGTGAAGCATCTTGGTTGTTTTAAGTGTGTTATATAAATAAAAGTGATGTTGACTGATATTGATAAAAACGAACTAACTTTGATGTAATTTGATATTTTTTCCGCTACCCTGCAGACCGGTGTGGTGCAGTGACTCCTCCTCGCCGCAGGGGGCGCTGTGCATCTTTAAACTCGCGTTCCGCTCCGCCGATAAACACAAAGGAGGAGAAGAAGAAGGGCGGTCTGAATGTGGATCATGGTCGCTCTGTTCGGAATCAGGTCTTTGTGAAACACCGTGAAACCTGGTTCGGACTGAAAGAGTCCGCACGAGCCTTTGTTACGTTAAATAAAGCTCCAGAGTCCAGCAGGTGGACCCGGAGGATCTCTGCCGGAGGACATGTACCGAGGTCGGCCTCCGCCGAGAGGAGGCTACCCGCCGCCTTTCGAAGGCCGAGGTCCGCCTCCCGGGCCCAGGCCTTACCTGGTGCCGGGTTACAGAGAGGACCGGGGCCGGCCCAGGGCTCCGTACCACGCCGGATACCACGACCACGGTCCCCCCGAGTCCTACCGCCGCTCCCCGCCGCGCAGGAGGTACCCGTCCCCCGGCTCAGGGAGTCACCGAGGCGGCGAGTACTGGACCGGTGCTCCGCCGAGAGAGGTGGGTCAGCCGGGCTAGAAACCGGGTCTAATCAGTCTGAACATCGATACGAGTCCAAACCCGCTGTGGCTCCTGGTTCTGTCTCCTGAGGACGTGTCTGAGCTAAAGTTAGCCCCGGTTTGTTTATTAGCTTCTGTTCACCAAACTCCATTCAAAAATCTGTCAATTTAACAGAGCGGTGTTGTTTATCTGTGTGTAACGGTGATAATTGTAAAAACTTTAGTGTCCATTCTTAAATTTTCTCGACCGACACATCAAGTGTGAATAACATTTACATTTTAGCTGCGTGATCACACCTTTAAGGTCTAAACTAATGATCTTTAAAATGTTTGAAGTAAAGTTGTTTATCAGAGCTTCACTGAACTGACATGTTTCTGACCGGAGTTCCTCGGTGGTTGGCTTCAGGTAAACTTCCGGTCACAGGTGTGTTTTCAGCTTCAGTTACCAGTCTGGACAGGAGTCTGGCGGGTTAGTTAAACAGTTTACACACTTTCCAGCCATTTCACTTCATTTATCATAAAATCAGCTGGTAGAGACTGGACACCTGCTGCAGTCACGTGATCCGTCACCTGTAACTTCCTGTTGATGCAGCTGAAGGCGGACTGATCGATAACCCGGTTCTGGGTCTGAGCAGGGGCTGTGAAACACGTCCATCTCAAGGGGGACCTCTCAGAAAACTGTTCAGTTGTTCACATTCAAGTTTTATCTTTCTGTTGTCATGACAACTGCACCAGCAGTGATTTGGAGGAAGGTCCTCAGATCATTTAAAAACCGTCCTTGTTCCTGTTTGGGCTGAAGGATGAAGACTCGGACACAAGATGGCGGCCTGCGGCTGATCCGACCTGTATCGGGTTTGGACCACGTGTGAAAGTGGAAGAGATCCGAGTGAACTGTTCACGCTGTAAACACATCAGATCTAAATCACTTCTGCAGTCTGAACGCAGCCTGTGAATCCAGATTAACGCCAGCAGCTGTGCAACAATCCGTCGTCGTTCATCTCAGCGGACAGAAACATCGACTCGTCGTGTCGTGGTTGTTTTGCTATGACAAAATCCCAGGCCACTAATCTGCGAGTAGTCTGTCTCCTGACTCGTGTCCAAACAGCCACAGTCCAGATCTTACAAAAGACCTGGTCCTTCACCGGGCCAGTGCTGTCCACCAAAAACCACTCAAACCTGTTGCATGGTCTGTAGTTAATTTGTTTAAAAGAGTCAAAAACTTGTTGCGCTCTTTCCACCTCCTGCCCATGTGCAGCAAAGCGACTCGCCACCCAATCAGGAAAACACACAGAATGAGCTTCTGCGTTACTGACAACAGTCCAGCAAGCTGATTCTGACTCATCGTTTCCAGCCAAGACTCTTTTGTCGTATGGGACCGTCAGCTGATCCTGGGGCCTCTCTGCCTCTGAAGGTGGGGACGGGCCTGGTTTTATGGGTGGAAAGTAATTGTTGATATTAAATTATTGATCTAAGACGGACCCCGGAGAGAGCTGCAGGTTTAAGTCGCCCCCTGCTGGCTGCTGGAGAGGACGCAGGTTTAAGTCGCCCCCTGCTGGCTGCTGGAGAGGATGCAGGTTTAGGTCGCCCCCTGCTGGCTGCTAGAGAGGACGCAGGTTTAGGTCGCCCCCTGCTGGTTGCTAGAGAGGACGCAGGTTTAAGTCGCCCCCTGCTGGCTGTTAGAGAGGACGCAGGTTTAAGTCGCCCCCTGCTGGCTGCTAGAGAGGACGCAGGTTTAAGTCGCCCCCTGCTGGCTGCTGGAGAGGACGCAGGTTTAAGTCGCCCCCTGCTGGCTGTTAGAGAGGACGCAGGTTTAAGGCGGCCCCTGCTGGCTGCTGGAGAGGACGCAGGTTTAAGTCGCCCCCTGCTGGCTGCTGGAGAGGACGCAGGTTTAAGGCGCCCCCTGCTGGCTGCTATAGAGGACGCAGGTTTAAGGCGCCCCCTGCTGGCTGCTGGAGAGGACGCAGGTTTAAGGCGGCCCCTGCTGGCTGCTGGAGAGGACGCAGGTTTAAGGCGGCCCCTGCTGGCTGCTAGAGAGGACGCAGGTTTAAGTCGCCCCCTGCTGGCTGCTGGAGAGGACGCAGGTTTAAGTCGCCCCCTGCTGGCTGCTGGAGAGGACGCAGGTTTAAGGCGCCCCCTGCTGGCTGCTGGAGAGGACGCAGGTTTAAGTCGCCCCCTGCTGGCTGCTAGAGAGGACGCAGGTTTAAGTCGCCCCCTGCTGGCTGCTAGAGAGGATGCAGGTTTAAGTCGCCCCCTGCTGGCTGCTAGAGAGGATGCAGGTTTAAGTCGCCCCCTGCTGGCTGCTAGAGAGGATGCAGGTTTAAGTCGCCCCCTGCTGGCTGCTAGAGAGGATGCAGGTTTAAGTCGCCCCCTGCTGGCTGCTAGAGAGGATGCAGGTTTAAGTCGCCCCTGCTGGCTGCTAGAGAGGATGCAGGTTTAAGGCGCCCCCTGCTGGCTGCTAGAGAGGATGCAGGTTTAAGGCGCCCCCTGCTGGCTGCTGGAGAGAGAGCAGGTTTAAGGCGCCCCCTGCTGGCTGTTGGAGAGGACGCAGGTTTAAGGCGCCCCCTGCTGGCTGCTGGAGAGGACGCAGGTTTAAGTTGCCCCCTGCTGGCTGCTATAGAGGACGCAGGTTTAAGGCGGCCCCTGCTGGCTGCTATAGAGGACGCAGGTTTAAGGCGGCCCCTGCTGGCTGCTATAGAGGACGCAGGTTTAAGGCGGCCCCTGCTGGCTGCTGGAGAGGACGCAGGTTTAAGGCGCCCCCTGCTGGCTGCTGGAGAGGACGCAGGTTTAAGGCGGCCCCTGCTGGCTGCTGGAGAGGACGCAGGTTTAAGGCGGCCCCTGCTGGCTGCTGGAGAGGACGCAGGTTTAAGGCGGCCCCTGCTGGCTGCTGGAGAGGACGCAGGTTTAAGGCGGCCCCTGCTGGCTGCTGGAGAGGACGCAGGTTTAAGGCGGCCCCTGCTGGCTGCTGGAGAGGACGCAGGTTTAAGGCGGCCCCTGCTGGCTGCTGGAGAGGACGCAGGTTTAAGGCGGCCCCTGCTGGCTGCTGGAGAGGACGCAGGTTTAAGTCGCCCCCTGCTGGCTGCTGGAGAGGACGCAGGTTTAAGTCGCCCCCTGCTGGCTGCTGGAGAGGACGCAGGTTTAAGGCGCCCCCTGCTGGCTGCTGGAGAGGACGCAGGTTTAAGGCGCCCCCTGCTGGCTGCTGGAGAGGACGCAGGTTTAAGGCGCCCCCTGCTGGCTGCTGGAGAGGACGCAGGTTTAAGTCGCCCCCTGCTGGCTGCTAGAGAGGACGCAGGTTTAAGTCGCCCCCTGCTGGCTGCTAGAGAGGACGCAGGTTTAAGTCGCCCCCTGCTGGCTGCTAGAGAGGACGCAGGTTTAAGTCGCCCCCTGCTGGCTGCTAGAGAGGACGCAGGTTTAAGGCGCCCCCTGCTGGCTGCTAGAGAGGACGCAGGTTTAAGGCGCCCCCTGCTGGCTGCTAGAGAGGACGCAGGTTTAAGGCGCCCCCTGCTGGCTGCTAGAGAGGACGCAGGTTTAGGTTGCCCCCTGCTGGCTGCTGGAGAGAGAGCAGGTTTAAGGCGCCCCCTGCTGGCTGTTAGAGAGGACGCAGGTTTAAGGCGCCCCCTGCTGGCTGCTGGAGAGAGCGCATGTTGAAGGCTTCACTTCTCAGAGCTGGAGGTTTTGACACTAAAGAATGCGTTTTGTTACAGAGGTCTCCGTCACCGCGTGGACCTGTTCCCCTCGACCACAACCTGGTCATCACCGTCGGCAACGAGCTGACCGGACCATCTGGCCCCGCCCCCTCACGTCATCATGACAGGTATGAACCAAACGAATATATTTGGGTTATTATGTTTGTAGATGTCAACACCTGACAACAAACGTGGCAAAATGTTTATTTAAACGGAAGCGCAGTGCCTGAAGAAGAAGAAGAAGAAGAAGAAGAAGAAGAATACGGGGGTGTTTATACGCTAGAGCTGCAACTGACGATTATTTTCATTATCAACTCAGCGACCAACTGTTTTCACGATGAATTAATTGTTTAGTTTATAAAATGGCAAGAAATACTGAAATGCTCATCACAATTTTCCCAAAATAACATCTTAAAAACCCAAGTCTTTTTTTTTCCTTTTTTTTCTTTCTGTAAATGACAAAGAACAGCAGCAGTTCTTCACATTTAAGGAAAATGAAACCAGCAGAAGAAATGACATCATTAATGGATTATCACAAAAGTTGATAAATTTTCTTCCGATGGATTAATCGTTGCAGCTCTATAATATAAACGTCGCTGCTGATTTATGACATATCCTCAACGTTGAAAAGGCATTTTGTGCTTTTATTTTGTTGGTAGATTATGAATATTGGTGCTGTTTAAAAGAAAAACAGGAAAAAAGTTGCTTTATCTGAGGGGGAGTCAAACTGAAGTAAAATTATCTTAATGTTAAAGTCTATCTTGAAAAAGATAAAGTTGCAATATTTTGAGAATAAATTTGCGATAAAATTTATAATTTTACAAGATAAATTTAATATATTTAATACTTCAAGCACCAAAATCATAATTTTACATGTAAACGGTTTAACTTCTAAACTTTGGTGTAAAATTAATCTAAAGAGTGGCGAAACATACAGGTGAGAGGACAGACGTCAGGCCTCTAATATTTAATTCTAAAGTGGTAGTGGTAAAAATAACATAATACATCTACATAATGAGAGAGATATATATATATATATATATATATATATATATAAACTGTGTATCTTTACTAATTATATACATTTTATCTAATATTTAAAAAATAATAAAATGTTCACTTTAGGAGAAAAGTGAAATTGAATCGAATATCGATTAAATGTTTTATTTTAACTTGATAAATGTAGTTATTTTCTATGGCCCTGGGTAGTGTCTGCAGGTATAACTCTGTCTGTGTGTAGCCTGAGAGGCCAAACCCAGGGCATCTTTGGTTGTTAAATTCAGTCCACTTAAAGCCGGTGTTTTCCTACAGAGACTACCCTCCTCGACCCGAGCACGAGCGGGGCCGGAGCCGACCTCGCAGCCGGAGTCCGGACCGGAGCCGGGCGAAGAGCCTGGGACGGAGCAAGAGTCAGGTGAGGAGCAAGAGCCGGCCCCGGAGCCCGAGCCGCAGCCCGGACCGGAGCCGAGCCAGGGGCCGGAGCAAGAGCCGCAGTCCGGACCGGAGCCGTGCCAAGAGTCGGGGCCGGAGCAAGAGCCGCAGTCCGGACCGGAGCCGGGCCAAGAGCCGGGGAAGAAGCAAGAGTCGGGGCAGGAGCAAGAGCCGCAGTCCGGACCGGAGCCGGGCCAGGAGCCGGGGCCGGAGCAAGAGTCGTCCGCGTAGCAGGTCCAGGTCCAGAGGGCGGAGCCGAGGACGAAGCGGCAGCAAAGCGGCGAGCCACGTCCGCAATAAGAGCCGGCAGAGGAGTCGCAGCGCCAGCAGCAGCAGCTCGAGCTCCAGCAGCTGCAGCTCCGACAGCGACAGGGAGTCCAAGAGGGAGTTCAGGGAGCTGGACACGGCCCGGCGCCGGAAGGAGCTGGAGGAGATGCTGAGCCTGCCGACCAAGTCCATCCTGAAGAGACGCAACGACTCCGAGGACTCGCCAACTCTCAGGGTACGTCATTCTTGAAATCTTGTAACTGGATCAATAACGATAATAAAATGTTTAAAGAAGGACCACGAGGGTTCATTTAAAGAGAAGGTTCAGATCATTAAAGCACCGGAGTGTCACTCTGCTCTGTCTCTGTGTTTCAGAGTACAGAGTCCCCCAGGGGTCCGGAGGGGACCCACATCTCCCGGGTGGCCGACCAGCTGCTGCAGGCTGTTAAGGGCATGGAGCCTCACATGGTGGCCCACATGCTGTCCGAGCTGCGGTCCGACCCGCAGATGGCTCAGCGCGCCGGCCTCGACGCCGAGATCAAAGAGATCCTCAATCTGCTGGGGGGCCCGGCAGGGGCCATGGCTCAGGAGAAGACGGCGGATGATATTGATGACGAGGAGAAGTTCCTGTACGGAGACTCGGAGGAGCCCAAACCTGCACCAGCCCCCGAGCTGGTCCAACACCACGGGTTGGATCTGTACGGAGACCTGACGGAGGAGGCGCTGTACGGAGACTACCCGCCGCCGAAAGCCATCATTGGTCAGACGTATGGCCTCCCGCCAGGGGCCTCGCCTCACCTTCAGGCCCTCCCACCTTGGGGGAGGGGGACATGAGGTACGCAAGCCAACCCACCATCAGCCCTGACCAGAACATCAGGGTCCAGGTGCCGAACCCTGCTTACCCACCGGGGACGGAGCCACTTGAGGAGGGCGAGCGACAGGCTCTGGAGGAGTACGAGAAGATCCAGGACCTGCTGAAGACCATCGGCCTGGACCTGGGTGTGGGCGAGATCAGCAAGATGGCCGCCAGGACCAAAGAGCGGCTCCACGGGAGCAAGCCGCCTCCGAAGACCCCCACCCGCAGACGGTACTCCTCCGGCAGCTCTGACGGCAGCCGCCGCAGTCGGGGCCGTAGGAGGCGGAGCCCCAGCGGCAGCTCCAGCAGCAGCAGCAGGAGTTGTAGCCGTGAGAGGGGGGGCAGCTGGAGCAGCGACGACGACCGCAGGAAGAGCTTGGCGCTGCCCAAATTGCACAAAGCCAGAGACGTCAAAGAGATGAAGCCCGAGCGGAGTGACGCAGCTCCGCCTCCGCACAAAGAGCCGCTGCTACAAACCCCCGACCCCAACACCCACCCACCCCACCCTGGGGTGCCCATACCCACCTACCCCCCCTCACAGGTACACGGCATTATGCCCCCCAACTTCCCCCCGCCGGGTTACGGCCAGTATGGAAACTACCTTCCCTACATGCACCAGCAGTGGCCGCCCATGTACCCGCCCCCCAATATATCCTTGCCCCCCCCGACCAGCCCTGAAGACTTCCCCCCCAGTCTGCCCTACAAACAGCCCTACACCAAACCGGCCCTTGAGCTGGGGGCCAAAGGTCAGTATGACTGATGATTAAAGGAACGTTTCCCCCAGATGATTCCTGCTGCCTGTGTCGACGTCTTCAGAGCAGCCGTTTAACTCCTGGTGTCTGTTGTGTCCTCAGGTCCAAGGAGTTCTGTTCAGGACGGCGAGAAGGGAAAAGTCAGCAGCCACGACAGGAGAGTGTCCGAGGAGCAGAACAACGAGAGCCAGAAACAAAAGGTCAGGAATATCTGAACAAGCATTACTGGAGCTGTCTGAGTCGGCAGCCAATTTAATTTAATGTACACAGCAGCGGTACCGAGCAGGTCCAGACCGAAATCTCCCTTCCACAGGTAGAAACTTCGAGCAGAACTGTGACTCAGGGTGGAGGTTGAGGTTATGAATTTTTAATTCAATTTCAATTCAGTTTTATTTATATAGCGCCAAATCACAACAACAGTTATCTCACAGCACTTTTCATAAAAGAGCAGGTCTAGACCGTACTCTGTGATGCTATTTACAGAAGCCCAACAGTTCCCACCAAGAGCAACACTAGGCAAGTTAGCGCACAATGACAGTTTGTCGTAGTATCTATGTGCCAAGTTCATACATTGGAAGGCAGATTTCCTCTTAGGAAGAAGAAGAAGAAGATGCAGAGCAAACACAAGAGCTGCTGGCAGGTAGAGTAGGTGTCACCAGGTGAGTTGAACGTGACTGTTTTTGTGTCCAGGTTCTGGAGGAGAGAGAGAAGCTGAAGCAGGAGAGAGAGCTCCGGATGAAGAAAAAGGAATATTTGATGAAGGAACTGGAGAGACTCAGGAAGCAACAAGGTGGGCGCACTAAATGCATTAATCTGGTCCACTTTGAGAACAGAATTAAGAGGCTAGATGTATGAAGATACATCTCATAAACACATTGTACAGATATAAATGATGATGACTGCAAAAAATTCAACACGTTCATTTAATTTTATTTCGTACTTTTCCAACAACCCGACCCTAAATCAAAGAAGAAGGAAATTTCCCAACACCTTAGTGTTGTTTTTTTATTTTTAATGAACAGAAATTATTCTTCCTGTGAATAAAATCCACTTAATCTTATTTCCATACTTACATCGTAGAGTCTAGACTTCACAGCCTCTCTTCAGGTCAGACTCCAGACTGCAGCACTTTGTAAAGACAGAATTTAACCTGCCTGTCAGCTGCTCCCTGACCTTTGATTTACCGTAGAGGCTGCAATACATGTGCATTCCAAATTTAGCTGACAGTGGAACCTGTTCAAACCCTTAGCCAACGTTACGGTGCAAAGGCACAATTCAGTATCTCCCGAAAGTGAGCACACCCCTCACATTTGGCAAATATCTGATTTTATCTTTTCATGTGACAACACTGAAGAAATTACCCTTTGCTACAATGTAAAGTAGTGAGCGTGCAGCTTGTATAACAGCGTAAAGTAGTGAGCGTGCAGCTTGTATAACAGTGTAAAGTAGTGAGCGTGCAGCTTGTATAACAGTGGAAAGTAGTGAGCGTGCAGCTTGTATAACAGCGTAAAGTAGTGAGCGTGCAGCTTGTATAACAGCGTAAAGTAGTGAGCGTGCAGCTTGTATAACAGCGTAAAGTAGTGAGCGTGCAGCTTGTATAACAGTGTAAAGTAGTGTGCGTGCAGCTTGTATAACAGTGTAAAGTAGTGTGCGTGCAGCTTGTATAACAGCGTAAAGTAGTGAGCGTGCAGCTTGTATAACAGCGTAAAGTAGTGAGCGTGCAGCTTGTATAACAGTGGAAAGTAGTGAGCGTGCAGCTTGTATAACAGCGTAAAGTAGTGAGCGTGCAGCTTGTATAACAGCGTAAAGTAGTGAGCGTGCAGCTTGTATAACAGCGTAAAGTAGTGTGCGTGCAGCTTGTATAACAGTGTAAAGTAGTGTGCGTGCAGCTTGTATAACAGTGTAAAGTAGTGAGCGTGCAGCTTGTATAACAGCGTAAAGTAGTGAGCGTGCAGCTTGTAGAACAGCGGAAAGTAGTGAGCGTGCAGCTTGTAGAACAGCGGAAAGTAGTGAGCGTGCAGCTTGTAGAACAGCGGAAAGTAGTGAGCGTGCAGCTTGTAGAACAGCGGAAAGTAGTGAGCGTGCAGCTTGTAGAACAGTGTAAAGTAGTGAGCGTGCAGCTTGTAGAACAGTGTAAAGTAGTGAGCGTGCAGCTTGTATAACAGTGGAAAGTAGTGAGCGTGCAGCTTGTAGAACAGTGGAAAGTAGTGAGCGTGCAGCTTGTAGAACAGTGGAAAGTAGTGAGCGTGCAGCTTGTAGAACAGTGGAAAGTAGTGAGCGTGCAGCTTGTAGAACAGTGGAAAGTAGTGAGCGTGCAGCTTGTAGAACAGTGGAAAGTAGTGAGCGTGCAGCTTGTAGAACAGTGGAAAGTAGTGAGCGTGCAGCTTGTAGTGGAAAGTAGTGAGCGTGCAGCTTGTAGAACAGCGGAAAGTAGTGAGCGTGCAGCTTGTAGAACAGCGGAAAGTAGTGAGCGTGCAGCTTGTAGAACAGCGGAAAGTAGTGAGCGTGCAGCTTGTAGAACAGCGGAAAGTAGTGTGCGTGCAGCTTGTATAACAGTGTAAAGTAGTGTGCGTGCAGCTTGTATAACAGTGTAAAGTAGTGAGCGTGCAGCTTGTATAACAGTGTAAAGTAGTGTGCGTGCAGCTTGTATAACAGCGTAAAGTAGTGAGCGTGCAGCTTGTATAACAGCGTAAAGTAGTGAGCGTGCAGCTTGTATAACAGTGGAAAGTAGTGAGCGTGCAGCTTGTAGAACAGCGTAAAGTAGTGAGCGTGCAGCTTGTAGAACAGCGGAAAGTAGTGAGCGTGCAGCTTGTAGAACAGCGGAAAGTAGTGAGCGTGCAGCTTGTAGAACAGCGTAAAGTAGTGAGCGTGCAGCTTGTAGAACAGTGGAAAGTAGTGAGCGTGCAGCTTGTAGAACAGTGGAAAGTAGTGAGCGTGCAGCTTGTAGTGTAAAGTAGTGAGTGTTAGCTTGTATGACAGTGTAAAGTAGTGAGCGTGCAGCTTGTATAACAGTGTAAAGTAGTGAGCGTGCAGCTTGTAGTGTAAAGTAGTGAGTGTTAGCTTGTAGAACAGTGGAAAGTAGTGAGCGTGCAGCTTGTATAACAGTGGAAAGTAGTGAGCGTGCAGCTTGTAGAACAGTGGAAAGTAGTGAGCGTGCAGCTTGTAGAACAGTGTAAAGTAGTGAGCGTGCAGCTTGTAGTGTAAAGTAGTGAGTGTCAGCTTGTAGAACAGTGGAAAGTAGTGAGCGTGCAGCTTGTAGAACAGTGGAAAGTAGTGAGCGTGCAGCTTGTAGAACAGTGTAAAGTAGTGAGCGTGCAGCTTGTAGAACAGTGGAAAGTAGTGAGCGTGCAGCTTGTAGAACAGTGGAAAGTAGCGAGCGTGCAGCTTGTAGAACAGCGTAAAGTAGCGAGCGTGCAGCTTGTAGAACAGTGTAAAGTAGTGAGCGTGCAGCTTGTAGAACAGTGTAAAGTAGTGAGCGTGCAGCTTGTAGAACAGCGGAAAGTAGTGAGCGTGCAGCTTGTAGAACAGCGTAAAGTAGTGAGCGTACAGCTTGTAGAACAGCGTAAAGTAGTGAGCGTGCAGCTTGTAGAACAGCGGAAAGTAGTGAGCGTGCAGCTTGTAGAACAGCGGAAAGTAGTCATCATCAAAATAAATGGATGATGACACTAGCTCTGAGCTTTGTGTTTCCACATCGTTCAGCTGCAGGTATCACTGAGTGCCGGCATGTTGACATTCAGACAGCAGCTGATGGAGAGGAACACGTTTCTTGTATTTCAGGCGAGCTCCTGAGGAAGAAGCGGCGGGAGAAGGACGGCCACAAAGACCCTCTGCTGCAGGAGATCAGCCACCTGCAGGAGGAGGTCATGACTCAGATCTCCAACCTGCGCAAAGAGCACGAGGCCGCCGAGAAGAAACGCAACGAGATTGACAAGGTGGCGCTCATCCTCGGCCTGAACCCATCCGACCGGCCGCGCAGGACCGTTAAGGCGGCCGCGGACGAGGAGGACGAACCATCGCCACCAGAGAAGAAGAAACGGGAGCTGGAGAGGAGCCCTGACGGACGGCAGGCGGCTGGCAGCTTCACCATAAAGGTACAAACGCCTGCACAGGAGGTAAAACAGGAGCTTCTGCTCTAAGTCATAGCTAGGGTTCTTTACTGTCAGTTTATATTAGGTTGAAATACTCCCCTGAATTTATTCAAATTGATTTGAGAAACATTTCAAAACCTTTTTTGTTATAAAAAATGTAGGTTTGAACGTTGTGAACTGATGAAAGCTCAGCTAGATTAATGATGAAAAGGTTTACTCACCTGTAACGATCTGTGTGGACACTCTGATCATATTTTACTTTGCGTTTGGGGTTTGTAGTTTTTGTCGTGAACAGCATCAGCTGAAACGGGTTGCAGCGTTCACCCGAACGCTCGCCGTGAGTTACGCTTCGGTTTCCCTTCATACAGTCTGACAGATGCAAAGATACAGAGTCATACAGCGTGCGGAGGCTTCAAGTGACAACCTGTGATTTCAAAATCTATCTTAAATTCTCCAATAACAGCTGACGTTTAAAGTTACCTATAAAGTCTCACTGGCACCTTCTACTTGTTTTTTCACATTAAAAGCCTGCCGGGAAAGAAGGAGAGCATGTCCTTTCATCCACTGGAAGACTTTTAATGTGAAACATCTGTGCAGGAAGTGTTGAGTTTTATTGACAGTTGCTTAAGAGTGATTAAAGAAAGGAGGGCAAAGTAGAGCTTCCCCAGAAATCAGATGTCAGTAAATGTTTTGATGGTAATAAAAGTTTCTTGACAAGATGTTCTGATCTTGTCCCGTTAGCGTGAACATAGATAGCTCAGTAATTAGATGTTGCAACAACGAAAAATAAGTTTACTAGGAACATTGTAAAGTTCCTGAACTGGTAAGTTTAGACTTTTTCATGTGGACGGGATCATCGAAGGTTTTTCCGACTCTGAGGTCTCTGAGGAAAACAAATCCAGCTTAAACCTTAAAAGCGAGTTAGACGTCACTGTCTGTATAAAAGCGACTGCCGGATTCTCGCAAAGTCCGTGTTGATTAACATCTTTGAGACTGGAACTCAACAAAGGTAAGAAACTTTTCCATTTTCATATTTTGTGGAGCCGAGTTTTAAAGATGGAACTCAACTGTTTTTGTCTGAGTGAATCTGGACTTTGTGGACCCCCCCCCCCACCGCCGTGTTGACTCTCCTCCATCTTTGTTTCTTAGCAGACCTCAGCTGCGTTGTCGTCTTTGAGAGCGTCGCCGGACAAGCCGCCCGTCACCGGCCATGCTCCGCCCCCGCCCCCGTTTGAATACTATGACGCTGGAAACCACTGGTGCAAAAACTGTAACGTCACCTCTGGTTCCATGTTTGATTTTTTCACGCACTTGCACAGCAAAACGCATCGAAAGGTTTGTGACAGTTTTTATATTTTACAGCAATTTAAAAAAATATCTGTTTGCATTCGTCTTGCTAAGACAATAACTTCTTTTTTGATTTTGTCCTTTGGAAGTAGTCTGTTTGATATTCATACCTGGACAGTCCGTTATGTGTCTATTCTTTTTAACATTTACTTTTCCTTTTCCTTGGACAGACTCTGGACCCGTACGACCGGCCCTGGGCTTCCACTCCCAGCAAAACCGCCAAGAACACACTGTCAGAAGAAAAGCTGACAAAACCCGCTAAAGGTACTCGTACTGCATATTCAGCATTTCCCTGAACAGTCGGCATGACGCCGTTTTTTTCCCAGTGATGTTGGTTTCCGAGCCGCTGAATTTTGTTAGCCGTCTTCTGCTTCCAGGTTGAGCTCTGTGGATCTCTGCTGCAGTTTCTGTCTCTTAATGAAAACAGTGCTGACGAAGTAACAAAGACTCGTCGAACCTCAGAGGAGACTCCTGTCCACACTTCTGATGCCAATTCATTTGTTTTCTGTGTCTCATCCTCAAATGAAGGAACGCACTGCAGTAACCTTTGGAAAGGTGCTTTAACGTCTCTTTGACAGGTTTGTTAGTCTGCTCGTTACCAACACGAGTCCGTGTTTTACTACATTTGCCTCTGTGTCACTGAGCTGTTAGCACCTTTCCAGTGGTTACTGATCTGAAATAAGACCACTGAGCTATACAGCATCTTTTTATTCAATACTTCATAACCAAGTGTCACCTCTCTAACCTTCTCCTGTCCTGACAGGTACTGGAAATGGTGACGTCCACCAGGTAAACATGATTGGCAGTTTATTTTCTCGCCACCTGTGGGTCTGAAACGTGTGGCGTGTGTTTTGCTGCAGGTTCGGAGTTCTTGCTGCCTGTCAGAGGATTCTTCTGCCTGCTGTGTAAAGAGTTTTACGGAGATGCCATCTGTGCAGAAGAACATGTCACCACACATGCTCACAATGAGAAATACAAGGTATTTAACAGCTGGAGCGGAGAAACAGCTGGACAAACAGAGATAGGACAGAATCTGCCAGCTGACTTGTTTTGGCAATTAGGGGAAATTGTGGCCAGAATCCAAAAAACAAGTATGTTTGTTCTCCCGGCACTTTGGGGACGAGCTCCTGGAACTAAGTGTGCGCTCAGCTTAGGAGATGAGACCAAACCCAACACTTTGCAGAGACAACATGGCAAACAATTAAACCTGGGCCCTATTTTCACAGATGTTGAAATAACTAGTAGGTACAAAGAGTTTTTGAGAATTTGTGCAGCAGATGCTTCAGTCGGCGGCTGAACCGGCTGCCGTGGCTGCAATGTTTTTCTTTGGGGCAATTGCGCTCGTCAAAATGGTGTCTTTTTCCCACCGACCGGCTCAAACTGTTACACCAGGTGTCTGACAACATCATGAAGAGGATCCCTACGAGGGACTCTCGGTGACCCCCCTCGCTCAAGGACAGTTCTGGCTCTGAAATCTTGTTGTTGTAGCGGGAAGATGCCGGTGGAAATGTGAGTCAGAGTTGGAGAGACCAGTTTGTTATGTTGAGTAACGTCCACCAGCGTCTTCCGGCAACATCTCGCCATTCACAAGGGCATCCATTTCAGATCGAGAGCTGTCCATCAGTGAGACTTCAGCTTGTGGCAAAAAGAAGCACTTTTTGTGGACGCCCTTTTGATGGGCACAGTGACCCTGAATAAATACATTTCAGTCACTGCCGGTTCAGCTGCTGGCTGAAGCCATATACTGCACGGGTTGAAAACCTTATGTGCCTACAAGTCATTTAAAAACCAACATGTGAAAATAGGACCCAGGATTAAAAAATACAGAAATTCTTTTAATTCAACAATTAAGAACTCAGGACGTTTGTTGATAAGTTGGTTTCAGTGTGAATCTACCTATGTATTTTACTGCCAATTTTTCCATTGTTGTTAATACCACAACAGCAGTTGCCTACAAAACAGACTATAACAATTATCACCATTTTAATGACCTACTGTATATCCAAAAGGTTCTGGGTTTAAACAAAGTGGAAACACACGGCAGAACTTGGACCCAAAGCCTAGCATGGTTCTTAAAATTTCGGAGTTTGGGAAGCTCTGTGTTAACTGTTAAGTTCCTGCAGTGGAAAAGACCTGGTTGTGGAATCTAGTCAGATAGTTTTCTTGTCCGGGGTTTGGTACAATCTACCCATCACAACACAATGTTAAAATTCAACAGCAATATGTCTTAAAGAAACCATGTCCCTGTTACTCTGGGGACAGAAACATGTTTTCTGGTAGATATTAAGGGTCTGGGGATCACATGTCATGAATAATAATAATGATAACTTTAAAAACAAAGTGCTTTACAATAATCCAAGTCAGTAAGATCTTACAAAAGAGATAAAACTAGATAAATTCATTAAAAAAGTTACAATAAATAACATCAGTTGAGAAAAAGGTCAAGATAAAAGTGACTTTTAGAGTTTAATGGCTGGTAGAGATGCAAAAGATTTCCATGTTTACGACTTGCAAGACTCAGATGGCTGTATGACTGCAGAGTTTTGTGGTGCGAGGGTTCTAAACTCTGTGCATCGACAGTACAACAATACATCCATGAACTTGGAACATTTTAAGAAAAATCATAGTTCATATGGTAGGTTAATAAGAAAATAGATCACTTTATTACAAATACGATGGAGGAACAAAAGGACAAACCGACTCCTGGAACGATCTAGGATGCTTTTAAGGCAGACATTAGAGCAATGGCATTTTCCTTCTCAGCAAATAAAAACACAGGGATGAAAGCTAAATGCACCTCATAACGCTCGCCAAGCGGCTACTCCGACACGCCCTCAAAAACACTGAGCTGCAGCACACAGCTCCTCTCCCTTCCAAACACTGGCTACCCTCCAGGCAGTCAGTGGACATAAAGTTGTTCCTGTGATGTAGAGACAGAGCTCAGTTAAAATTTTACGGATGAAAGATACTTTTGTTACAGATTAATAACTCACCACTCTGAAACTCTTGTTCCAGTCCATGTTGCCAAACTGGTCGACAACATGTACAGCTGAACCCGAGCTGTTTACCGGCTTCTTGCTGACCCGCCCTTCTCTGCTTCTGATTGGCTAGTAGTCCTTAACTAGGAACTGCGCATGTGCAACTCCCAACAAAGATCATTTAGAGACAAGATATATCGCTCCATAGTTAAAACGAAGCCTTTAACACAGGGTGAAAACAGGAGCTGCAGTAATGTGCAGTATGACAAACATGGTGTTTTTTTAAATTGAAACCATCTAAACCTGTTCTGGTACAACCTCTAAATAAGATGAACCTGAAAATAAGCACAATACCACCTCTTTAAACAGGATTAAGAATGGTCACTTTTTAAAGACGGCCAAAAATGATAGATTTAATTCAAATAAAGCATTTTTATTTAATGACAACTGAACAGGATAAATATTTAGAAGCTCACAAAACAAATACAAGCAAACTATAATTCTGTAAAATGAGGATTCAAATGTATTAATCCGGAATAATAAACTCATCAACTACACTTTTACTACATATTCTTTCCATGAATATGTATGTCAATCATAAAACTGAGTTTTCCTGTTGTAACATCTTTAGTGAACCAAGGAGAGCCAAATCAAGGGAAACTGGACTATGTTGAAGATCCTTTAAGACGCCTCTCATCTAAGAGTCTCAGAATTTAGATAACATTTTTCTCCAGCCATTTGTTAAATAGAAAATATAGTAAATTGATATCCCATTGTGAAAGCAGACCGTTTTCGCAATGTTTATTATTATTTTTTATTATTACCACCAAACTCAGACAGGTGGGAGCTGTTTCAGTCCTGTGTGATCCTCGTTTGAAGAGTCAGACTGTTCATTTCATTATTAATAAAAACAGATCTTCAGGCTCATGTTCATAAGTCATCTTTACCTTAAGTCTGCCAAAAACACAAAATTACGCAGTTTTCTGCCCAACACTAGAAACAATATATTGTGAATTCCCACATAACATGAATGCAGCAATAACCAAAGTACTTGTTTTCACGTTCTTGTTAAAATGAGGTTCATTCCACATATAGTACTCAGTTATCTTACCACATTTCAAGTTTTTGATGTGTTTTATTGACACTCTTGTCTTTCTGTTTTAATGCCTCCTTCGCCAGAAACAAATGTATGAGAATCCAATGTATGAACAGCGGAGGAACCTGGACCGTCAGGCAGGACTAGCCTTAGAGACGAGTGGGAAGAAACGCAAACATGAGGACGATGAGAAAAGCAACAAAGACAAGGAGGAAAAGTCCAAACACAAAAAGGAAAAAAAGGACAAGGAGAAAAAGAAGGAAGACTCTGACACTGTTTACAAGGAAGACAAATCTAGAGTTAAAAAGGAGGAAGAAGAGGACAAGCTGAAGCCCACCAAGAAAGAGGAGGATTTTAAAGATGCCAAAGGTCTGGAAGTGGAGAGGCCTTCTTACAGCAAGAAAGATGAAGATGAAAAGTCTAAGTTCAGCAAAAAGGATGATAAATACCGCCACAGCAGAGAAGAGGAGGAGAGGGGTAAATACAGCAGAAGAGATGAGGACGACAGATACAAATACAGTAGAGAAGAAGAATGTCGGTATCGATATCGTAGGGAAGAAGACGACAGATACGATGACCGTTCCAAATATGGTCAGAGAGACGATGAGGACAAGTATAAACACGGTAAATATCCAGATTACAGATCCAAATATGACAGAGAGCGAGATGAAGGAAAACCTAAGGCTGAGAAGGAAGCTTTTAAAAGGCTCGAGCCAGGGAAACCAGTGGTCAGCAAGCCTGAACCACCACCAAAACCCTATGACCCGCCCAAAATCCTTTGTGGACCCAGTCCGGCCATGAGGGCAAAGCTCCGCAAGCAGAGCCTGGAAACTGGCAAACCAGTACCCGTGGCCACCACTGCTTCATTCGGAAAGTTTACATGGAAGAAGAGGGAGAATGTTCTGGCGAAGGAAGCAGAGAAAGTGGCCGCAGAGTTCATCAAGGAAGACGAAGAGGCTGTAAAGCAGAATCCAGTCTCTGTGGAGGATTCTTTCGCAAAATCTATGGCCGTTGCTAAAGAGATCGCCCAGAAGCTTGGAGGCCCGACCATGCCTCCTCCCTGGGTGTCCAATGGTGCCAACCGGGGAAGGATCCGGCCTAACCTCCCTGCACCGGCTGCAGTCCTGAGGAAAACCGCCATGATGGGTAAACCTGCACCTCTCAATACCTTCCTCTCCATAAGACCCCAAAACACCACTTTACTAGGTTCTCCTCCAAAAGACGAACTAGCGAAGCCACCAATCAGTTATCCTGGCCCATTCGAGGATATGCGTGCACCGATGGCTGGTATACCAGAGCCATTTAAGGCTACACTTCCACCTCCAGCATTTGAGGTTAAACCTGTGCCATCAGTATCTAAATCTGCACCATTTGAGGTTAAACCTGCGCCACCTGTATCTAAACCTGCACCATTTGAGGTTAAACCTGCGCCACCAGTTTCTAAACCTGCACCATTTGAGGTTAACCCTGCGCCACCAGTTTCTAAACCTACCCCAATCGAGGCAAGGCCTGTGCTGTCTGATGCTAAATCTGCATCATGTGAGGCTAAACCTGTGCCATCTGGAATTACCCCTACTCCATCCACAGCTAAACCTGCACAACCAACAATGATTAAGATAGTCTCTGATGTGGCCGCTCCCGGCGTTCCTGAGAGTGAGCAAACTCGTACGGTGTTTGTCAAGCCTCCACCTTTCATGAACCTAGGCGATGGAGCGCAGAAGTCTGAGAAACACAAGAGTCATCTGGCTGCAGCAAAAGCCCAGGACTTATTCGACATCTTCTACAGCAACATGGGCCAATCGGGTGCCTCCTCCATCACCAAACCACCAACAGACGTCAGAGCTGACGAGAGCAGCACCAATAAAAGTAAACCCTCTACCCCGCAAACACCAAAACCACAACCCCATTGTCAGCTTCTTGCCCAGTCCCAACCTCCAGCTGCGGCTGATACATCTACACAACTAGACTCGAACAATTCCTCAACCAGTCCCCAATCCCAGTCAGAATCAGACATCCAAATTGCTTCCGTTTGGTCCTTGCAGCCTACCCCAGCTCAATCACATGAGGTGGCCCCATCTGAAACCAATCCACGAACCACCCAACAAAAACTGAATCCACTAGCCCAGTCTGAGGCTCCTAGTGTACCCCAAAATCAGTCTGAGGCTCCTAGTGTACCCCAAAATCAGTCTGAGGCTCCTAGTGTACCCCAGAATCAGTCTGAGGCTCCTAGTGTACCCCAGAATCAGTCTGAGGCTCAGAGGTCACCCCAAACCCAGTCCTCCAGTCCTAAATTTCAGTCCAAAATCGCCCAACATACCGAGCCTTCCAAGTTGGAACCAACACCTCAAACTCTGTCTCCTCAAATCCAAACCGAGCCACAAGCTGAACCCCAACCAGACCAGGGCAGCCAGCCCCATTCCCATCCAGATAGCCATCCTGACACAGCTCCAGAACCTGAACCAAAACCAGGCCCCAAAACTAGAGGCAAGGCAACTCCGACAAAGAGAACCCCCCTTGCCCCCCGCCCAGCCCGACAAACCAGATCCCAAACCAGATACCAGACCCGGCGACAGCAGCAGAGCCAGCCTGAGCCTGAGCTGGCTTCAGGAGATTCTGACTCTGCAGCTTCAGACCAAAAAGGACTGGACACGTCTGATCCTGGCTCTGAGATGCATGCAGAGGAGGGGGTTCCCAGCGAGGGGGACCGTCAGATGATGGCGATAACCCCTGAAACCCTGGGCCTCCCCTCTGACATGACCTCTCTAGACTTTGAGTACGATTTTAACTTTGAATAGAAGCTGGATCGGACTGTGTGACAAGAATCTGAGGAGGCGGTTTCTTTTATAACTACTCAAATAT